GAGGGAAAAGAGTGCTGATTCCAACAACTTCTCAATGTCCCTGAGGACTGAGCCTTTAGAGGCAGCTTCCAAAAGTCCAGCCAACTCCCTAGTATGATCCTGGAGATCCTTTTCTCTCACCCTCTTAGGAATCCCCCATGAGAGCAGAAGCTACAGCTCCTCCTGTCTTCCATCACCTTTGCTTTCCTCAGGATTCACTTTAACCTCCCTCTGGGCATGTGTACACACACACACACACACACACACACACCATCAATTTTCTAGTAATTTCCCCTTTATCAATATTAACATGTTTGTAACAACCTGAGACTTTACTCAGAGACCATAATTTCCAAGTAAAATTACAAAGATGAAAGGGAGAATCCTGTTTAGAGGCCTGCAGACAGGCTGTTCCTTTTGCCAACCCGTTCCCTGGTTCAACTGGATTCTCTTTGTTGATCTTACTTGCTGCTGTTGGTGTGTCTTTTATTGTAAAGCTACAGTTAAAGATATGCTCCATTAAGATACTAAGCAGCCTATATTAAGTAGCGCAGAAATCCCACCGGCATTGAGTTCTAGGAAAACAGTAGTCTCTGTATATAAATATTTTTATTGTCCAGTGTAGACACAGAAAAAGAGGCCATTATATTTCCTTTAATGCTGAAGTCCTTGCCATGGTCTTCAAGGCCTGACATGAGCTGCCTCCCTCCCCTTCCCCACATTACCTCTCTGTCACTAGACTCCAGCCACACTGGCCTCCTTACTGCTACCCTGCCATGCCAGGCATGCTCCCACCTCATTGCCTTTGCACTTGCTTTTCCTTTGTCTGGAACTTCCTACCCCCAGAGAGCTGTGCCATGTGCTTCCTCATCTCCTTCCATCTTTTCTCAAAACTCACCATCTCAATGAGGCCTTCCCTGACCACCCCACATAACATACACACACAAATACTCACTATCCCTCTTCATTTTTTTTTTCATGGCACTTCATTCACCACTCGGTCAATCACTCATCCACTCAACAATTGTTTATCAAGTGCCTACTTTGTGCCAGGCACTGTAGATGAAGCAATAAATAAAGCAGGCAAAAATTCCTGCCTTCATACTAGAGATAGATGATATATTTACTGGAATATTCATGTACTTCCTGAAGGCAAGAGCTTTGTCTGTTTTTGTTCGTAATCACATCACCAGCACCTAATACAGTGACCAGCATATAGTAGGGGCTCAACAAAGATTTTTGGAACGAGATGAGGTTTTAACCATCAGTGTCAAATTTAATCTCCATCAAGAGTTCCCAAACGCCTCTCCCCATCAATCTGACATACAGCCACGTTTGGGAACGACTGCACAGAGCAGAGGTTCTCTACCCTGGCCGCATGTTGGAACCTTCCAGCAGGCTTTAAAAATAACTGCTGCCCAGGCTCACTCCCAGAGATTCCGATTCAGTTGGCCTGGGTTGCAGCCCAGGCCATGGGAGTGTTAAAACCTCCCCGGGACACTAAGAACCGCTGACTTAATCCGTTTACATCAGGGATTTGGTAGCATCTACTCCTCCAACTTCTCAACCGGGCTGCTCATTAAAATCTCCTGGGGAATTTAAACCACAGATCGATGCTTGCCCCACCCTCAAGAATTCCTTTTCAACTGGCGTGAGACTCAAGCATGTATATTTTTAAAGTTTCTCCAGGTAGCGTCTACCGTGCAACCAGGATTGAGAACCAATGCTGGTGTATCCCTTTAAGTATCCTATTTTACAACGTCTTAATCCACAAACTGCCTCCAATCCTTTTGCAAGAACCAGAGTCCAACTCTAAAGATAATACTCTGCTCTCCACATAATCAATACAAAACACGTGTCTCTCACCTCTCACATATGTAGGCTTTGCTTCATCGATTTTCCACTTCCTTTCCACTTCATGCCACCACCATGAAGTGACTGTCCTGCAGCCCGGCAGCCTGCCCTAGCCTTCTGGAACATGCTGCCCCTATTCAACAAGAGGTCGTAAAGGTCCACAGACGAAATCTGGAGTCTGAGCCACTATCTCTCCCTCCCACCACCTCCATGCTTCTGCAACCTCACACTGCCACTTGCTTGCTCCAGACCCCACAATTGCTGGGAATTCTTTCAAAGGAGGTTAGGGTATAAAATGGACATCCCTTTCCTGCCTTCTCCCAATAAAACTTTCTTTATCAGTAGCTTTTTTCTCAGAGAAGGATCTATAATGCTTTATTTATTCCAAGCCCTAGGACAGAGGGGGCAGACATGGTGGGCATGGTTTGCAACCCAGGACCCTGAGCCCTTGAAATGACCCTATGAGGGCAGCCAAGGTCTGCACCTGAGTCTGGGGCCAGCCCTGAATATCATAATTGGTGAGGATCACGAGATGTCAAGTCCAGGGAATAGCCAGAGTCCTGGAAAAGAAGACCTTGAGACCAGAGCTTACAAAACTCTCTGGATACAATGGCTCAGTGGTTGTGCTCCAGCCCTTGAGGGCCCCTTGGTGCTTCTAGTGTTCACTGTCCAGCAGGGCAGAGGCCTAAGATACTATTGCACTTTTGTCTTTCTTGGCAGTTTACTACCCTCTTTCAACGGGGAAGTGCTCTCAACCATGCACGCTCTTCGCATGACAACATTCCAGGTACAAAATGTATGATATATAATTTTTTTTCAACTTTTTGATATATAGGGCACATGCACTCACCAGAGAGATAGACAAAGTGAGAAATCACCCCCAAGCGGGGGTGGGGGGTGGCCATGCCACAATCCTTTCTCCTCCATTTTCCTCTTGGGATTTTGGGCATGAATGCACACGCACCCCAGGTGAGTTTCAGGCTACTGATTCCAAGATTTAAACTTAAGGTCAGCCATGTGGATGCAGCACCTTGACCACCACACCATCTGCTAGCCCAGTTATATCAATTTTAAATACAGATATTTTGTGTATTCAGTCCCTGGAGTGAGCAGCTCCTGCCCTACAGCATCCCCACCCACCACTGGTGTGGTGTCAGTATTTACTGTGTATATACAAAGGTCTTCGAAATGTTCATTAAAAATGCATATTATGGGAACCAGCAGTTAGTGTAATGGCTATGTTGCTGAATTCCCACGTAGTCAACCACGGTTTGCATCTCGGACCCAGTGGCTTAGAACTCACGCCGGGCGCGTGTGCGTGCGTGCCCAAGATCCCGAGAGGAGAATGGAGGAGAAGGGATTGTGGCATGGCCATCCCCCCTGGGGGGTGATTTCTCGCTTTCTGTCTCTCTGTCTCTCTCTGTCTGGCGAGCGCACACGCCCTATAGCGAAAACCTCTCAAAAAAAAAAAAGAAAAAGAAAAGAAAAGAAAATGCATATTATGAAAAAGCTGCATGGATTTCAAACTGTTTTTTAAATTTTTTTCTTTTTTTATGCCAGAAGTGGTAGGGGAGAAAACCCCTCAATGGGGGCTAGTCACACTAGTCCTTTTTCCTTCAATTTTCTATCCCGTCAGGATCCTGGGCATGTGACCAGGCATCTGATGGTGTGTAAGCCACTGGGATCAGGACTTGAATCTCTAGTTGGCCACGTGGGGTCTGGCCTCCTCTGCATACAGCTTAAGCCATGGGCTATGGGGCCAGCCCCAATATTACAGGATATTTTTGGTACCAAAATAAACTCGCACTTTAATTCCATTTTTCCATGAACTCTTTGGAAATACCTTCATAAATCACAATTTGCAGGTTTTCTCTGATGTGACCCTACAGCAGGGGGGTGACAGGCACTGGAAGTCACATTTATTAGGTACTGGCCATGGACCAGGCATTCTGCTAAGTGCTGTTCTCACATCTACCCTGTAAAGCATTATCTCCATTTTATTGATGAGGAAGCAGAGTCACGGAAGTAAAATAGATTACCAGACCATGCTCCCTCCATAAATCTTCATGTCCTATTTTACAGAGGAGACAATGGAGGGCAATGACCCTCCTGAGGTTACCGAGCCAGCAAATGGCAGAGCCCAGGCTCGACCCCCCACCCCCACCCCTACTCCCACCCCAGAGTTTGTGGCTTTCTTCCACACACTTTGTCCTGCCAGCCTGGGGCTGCATCCAGTTGCCACTGCACCCCAGGATTGATTGGCAGTGACCCAGGACAGCTCGCAGAGCTCAGGCCCAATAGGAAAGAGGCCTTCTAGGTGTGCAATGGCATGTCCAACCAAGTGGGAAGTCACATTTTTCTATGTCTTCAGCTTGGCGGGGACACCTCTTCCTAACCCCTGTATTCAGCGCAATACAGGAATTCTCTGGGCAGCAGTTCTAAATTCGGATGACACATTTTTGCCCTGATAAGGGCTTTTGGAGATTTTCAGAACCTGGCCCCGGAGTACATGCCTCAACCCTGTAACCAAAAGCCTCTGCCTTGGATTTTCAGACTACGGATGTCTCCACTCAAGCCTTTGTTTTGCCCATGCAGAGTTTAGCTTTTTTCTTATTAATTTCTATGCCATTCTTCTTACGTTTTTAAATTACCCACACATTCCAGTACTGCATTATTAATTTGAAAAGCTAAACCTTTTCCCCTTTACTTGGGGGTATGTTTGTCATCTGCTACGTTAAGCTTGAACTCTTGACTCTAGAGGTTCCCAAGGTTATGTTGCTGGAGAAGATAAACACTAAGTAACCACCAGAGGTATAAGATAACTTGGTCCTTTTACGGGAAAAAAGAAAGTATGTGCTTTATTGCCCCGTGTCATTCCATGTAATATCACATCCTGTCATGATGCATCAGCAACATGGATAAATGCTCACCGCCCCGACAGATCCAATAATCATTTTGCTAACAAGAAGGAGGATATGTTTTAAGAGCCGTGCACAAAGCAAGTGGTGCAGAAAAATGCGTCCACACGGCAATTCTTATTGGCCATGCAGGTGCTTTATAGCTCACACAACAAACACACCACTTGGGGTCAGTCAACTGAAAATGGATCCAATGTGCGTGAGAAGTGATGGCCTTTTAAAATGCATTGCACTTTCCCCTGGACACTCTGAAACGGGCACTCTCACTCAAGAGTGGAAAGTTACCTTTTCACGTGGAATTAGCGCATTAGGTGTTTTTGTTTTGTTTTGTTTTGTTTACAGTTATCTGCTAGGATGAGGGAGGCAGGCTTTGCAGAGCTGATTCAAGCAGTATTTAAGTGCCAGGAGGGCAGGGCAGGCCCTAGTGCCAATTCGGCCACTTTCTACCCTCGTGACCTTAGATGAGGTGCCTGGCCTCGCTGACCTCTCCCGCATCCTTCACAGAGGTGCCAAGGGAACAAAGACTCGCTATGAAAGCATTTTAAGAACCTTAAGTTATTGTATAGATACAAAAGCATGACATCCTCAGTTGGGAAGTCTAATGTCTGTATCTCTTGGTTCGTTCACAGATGCCAACAAACCCAGCACATCCAAGCAGGGATCTCAAATAATGAAGAAGATGTCTGCAGTTCTGTCTAAGGTGTTTTCAAAATCTAACGCCAACCTTCCCGAGTCTTCCTCACCCCCACCACAACTCCCTCACAGAGACACAGACGAAAACTGTTAGGTCTGACAGAAATAAGCAGCTGACCATCTCTAAAAAAATAAATGATTTTGGAAGGATAAGATAGTGTCTTCCATGTTGATCCTTATAAAGAATGAAAATAAAAGCAAAGTACAAAGGTAGCCAGAGACCAAATGGGTTTGGCCTTCTGGTCTAAAAAGGGGTTGGGCCTCATACAAATGCACCTCCCAGGCAGGGTGGGATTTCAGCTCTGCTCCCGAGGGCCAAGTGGCCTCACTGGGAAGATAAGATTGACAAGCAAAAGGGTAACACCAGTGAGACAGTGTGTCATGGAGTATTTCGGATGCTAGGGGTTTCCAAGAAGGACTCATTGCTGTGAGCTGGGGTGGTCAGGAGAAGCTTCCTGGAGGGACTGGAACTGAGTCAACCCTCAAAGGCCAGGTAGGGCTTAGGTGGGCGTGGAAAGCACCAAAGAGGCTTTTGATGCAGATCCCACAGCTACTTGTACAACTCTGCCATGCTGGGACAGCCCAACTCAGTGCTGTCCGATGGAATGTTCTGTGACGGTGGGCTTGGTCTATATGCACAATCCAGGAGAGTAGTCACAAGCCCCATGTGGCTATTGAGTCATTAGTGTGATTAAGGAACTGGATTTTTCATTTTATTTTTCATTTAAACAGCCATCCTTGGCTAGTGGCTCCTTTATTGGATAGCACAGGTCTAGTTAGCACATGGCCTCATGGGCAAAAGCCAATTCAAGTGAAGTTAAGAGATTCCCTGAAAGTTTATTTCTAAAGTTGATATCCCTAAACACATAGGGCAGTGCGGAGATCTGATGCAGAGATCTGACTCCTCGGAAGGGCTTTCCAACCTCCAGGCACCCTCTTGACCCCTTTAAAACACACAAGCCACTTGGACTAACCCCATAGCCTAGTGTGATCACTAGGAAGCCAGATCCCACATGGCTGACTACAGTTCAAATCCTGGCCCTAAAGGCTTGAAAAACATGCTGGGTGCATATGCATGCCCAAATCCTGACAGTATGGAGAAAGGATGGCAGCGTGACCAGGCCCCATTGCGAGCACTGAGGGGATACTTTCTCCTTCTCTCTTTCTGGTGAGTGCATGTACTCTCTGGCAGTTGAAGAAGGGAAAAAAAAAAAAAACACACACACAAGGCACAAATGTGACCAGGGCAGGGCGGGAGGAGGGGGCAGGAAGCGTCTGTTTTTCGGTCATGCCTGTTTCCCTGCACTTAACACTCAAATTGATGAAGGATAGTCCCCATCTAGAACACAAAAGTCAAGCTATTACGTAGAGCAAATAAGACCCCATACCCGCCAGCTGTCCTCAAACACAGCGATGGGCTGAAAACAGCTGCCCTTAGCAGAAACACCGCTGTGCTATCAAAACCACCACTCTGGCCTCTCTTTGGCCACTCAGGCAACACTAAAATAATCACTCAACCAGGCATTCTCAGAAACCAGCTTTATCCAAGACACCAGGATGGTCCCAGCCTTATCCAAACTCCATGAATGAAATGTTTTTAAGCAAATAAATTTCCTTTATGCTAGACCTACAGTCCATAAATATGAGGTTAACTCTAATAGGTTAAATATAATAGGTTGACAGGCAGGGCTACTGCCCAAATAGCACCTACATCCAAATGTGGCCATCTTCATCTGCTCACAGGTTCCTGCTCGCTCGTACCCACTCCAGTTCATTACATGCAACAACACGTTTGGGGTTTTTTTTTGTTTTTTGGGGGTTTTTTTGGAGGGAGAGGTTTTTGCTATAGGGTGTGTGCGCTCACCAGACAGACAGAGAGAGACATAGAGACAGAAAGTGAGAAATCACCCCCCAGGGGGGATGGTCACGCCGCAATCCCTTCTCCATTCTCCTCTCGGGATCTTGGGCACGCACGCACACGCGCCCGGCTTGAGTTTTAAGCCACCAGGTCCAGGACGCGAACCGTGGTCGACTACAGGGGAGTCCAGCAACATAGCCATTACGCTAACTGCTGGTTCCCCAGCAACACAAGTTTTGAGGTCACTTTTTAAAGTTTTTTCCCATAGGATGTATGCACTCACCAGAGAGGAGAGAGATGGAGGGGGACAGAGAGATTGAGAGGGAATGTGAGAAATCACTCCTCAGAGAGGATGGCCATGCCACAATCTCTTCTCCATTCTCCTCCTGAGACTTTGGGCATACCCACACGCCCAGCATGATTCTCAAGCTGCCAGGTCTGGGATTTGAAGTGCAGTTGGCTATGTCCAGTGCCTTAACCACTACATGGCCTGCTGGGCCCTTTCTTAAAGGTCCACAATGACAGTGATCTTACACCTGGCTTTCGGTCATTCTTAGTAGTAAGGGATACATGCCCAGTACAGAATTCCAAAGCACAGGAGCTACTTACTATGCAAAGTAAGCCTCTCCCCGGCCCTTCCTCAGCTACCTGGTGCTCATCTTCAGAAGAAATCTCTGCTACTAATGGATCAAGTAGCCTTCCCAAGAAAGCCCATGGGATAAGAAGTATATCAACGTCTGACTTTACAAGGAAGTCTCAGTATCGTCTCCCAGAAAGGCATAACACAGAGAGGGAGGGAGAGCTAGAGAATGCCAATGTGTAAATGACAACCACTATTTCCTGGTGGCACTGCTTCAGTCTGTTTCTATGCTTATAATCACAGTGTCAAATAAAGTATCTATAGTTTTTGGAGATGAAAGCATTTAAATGTGCAGAAATAGACCAAAGCACTACAAGTATAAATGCACAGACAGCCTCACCTACAGTGAAAGAAAATGCATAATAAAATGACTTATTAGAATATACCTTTCAGAAAAGAAAAAAGGAATAGAATGGTAAAATCCAAGGTTGTCCAGAATGTAGGGAAGGAAGTACATTTGAACTCTACAGTGCTGATGGTTCTACAAATTCAGCCTTTCTGAAAGCAGTCTGACACTAGGAAGAAAGTCGTGGTTCTGTCTGCACTTTTGGACCTGGTACCTCTCATTGGGGGATACAGTCCAAGGGAACATTACAAAAGGAAAACATTTCTATGTTTATTTATGTATTCATGTATTTTGCCATAGGCATGTGCACTTGTCAGAGAGTCTGAGACCAAAAGAGAGAAAGTAAGAAATCACCCACTCCCGCCAGGGAGTGGCTATGCTGCAATATCTTCTCCATTCTCCTCTCGGGGTTTTGGACACACGTGGACACATACCTCGTGTGATTTTCAAGCCACCGGGTCCAGGACTCAACCGTGTAACTGGCCATATGGGATCCAGTACCTTAATGTCCACATCCCCTTCTGGCCCCATCATTTCAGTATTTTTAATGATTCCTCAAGGGACCGATGTATCTGATGACATACTATTGGTTATTGGTCATACTTAATCTATAGGATACCAATTACCACAATACCTCGTGTGATTTTCAAGCCACCGGGTCCAGGACTCAACCGTGTAACTGGCCATATGGGATCCAGTACCTTAATGTCCACATCCCCTTCTGGCCCCATCATTTCAGTATTTTTAATGATTCCTCAAGGGACCGATGTATCTGATGACATACTATTGGTTATTGGTCATACTTAATCTATAGGATACCAATTACCACAAATGTAATTAATTTCCTCTTACTGAAAAAATATGACCTGTTCGTGTTTTATGATGCAGTTTCCAGTAACATTTGCAGAAATTGGGGGCCACTTACAGTAAAGGAAGAGCTCTAGGCTAAATCCTTCAAACTGCAAATAATTACACCCAAAATTATGTCTTCTAAATTTACATTTTCAGATAAAAGGCAAGACACCAGGAAGCTTTTGGCTTTATTCTTTGTTTACCACAGCATGGTGTGGGGCAGCTCACTAGAATACCATTTAATAATGCCAATTATTCCTTTATAAGAGGCTCAAAACATGTTTACAGAAGGGATGGCCTACACCAGGTAAGGATCATTTCCAGTTTAGGATCTAATGAGTCCATAAACTGCCAAGCCAGGTACTTACTAGACACAGAGTCCAGTAGGTTAAAGGAAGTGAAAAAAAAAAAGAGAGAGAGAGAGACAGATTAGGGTGTTAATTAGGCCATATTTTTTTTTAGAAAAATGACACACTCGAGCTAAAAAGCATTCTTCATAAACACTTTTGTTCAGCGTGGCTGTTTAGCCTTAAGATCACTGACAATCTGTCCACCAGCGAATTCCAAACTGTCCTCTGTGGACCCATGAAAGGAACACTGTTCCCAAAGGCCTGGTGTGGGCTGTGCACACGCCTCTCAGATCTGACTGCAGGGAGTGCTGCCACAGCCACTGGGCTCTGAAATTCAGCATGGCCCAAACCCGCCGCACTGAGTTTTCCCCAAGTCCCACCTTCCCCCAGGTGTCTCTTTGTGTGGCAGAGACTCTAAGGCAGGTCATTTCTGCAAGACATGGGACTCCCCTAGCAGGTGACTTTTGGTCAGGGATGCTGTCAGGCAAGAGACCCAGCCTCACCATGACTTCACAGGAATAGAAAGTAGTGAAACCTGCCAGGTTAGAACAAAACGGTCTGTTACGACCTGGCCAGCAGCATGAGCATCAGTGTGTCCCTTCAGCTCCCTCGGCCCCCCAGTCCCACAGGGCAACATGACAGGCCCAGTTGGATGCTACGCATGTGGCAGGTGGCATGGAGCTGAGGAAGCTGGAGTCAAGGGCTCCGGACTTTTCAGGCAATGAGCAAGCATTGGCCTCCCCCAGGAAATGTGCAGCTAAAGAGCAGTCACCCTGTGGTCCCCTCGCCCCCCTTAGCTGCCTCTGTGACCACCCACAGTGCTGGCTCAGGATGAGGAAACGGCTAAGCCTACTGCTCCTGACGCTCGGAACACACAGGGTGCTCAGGGCCCGGTGGACTGCCCCTCCCTCCAGACACCCAGTTATTTCACTAACGCGTGCTGAGGACCGTGCTGCCAGTGACAGGTGTTCATTAGCTCGATCTAATCACTCATTCTAGTCATAAATCGTAACATCACTTTGTACCCCGGAGGATTTTGTCAATTTGTAATAAAAATAAAAGTTCGGGACCTGCAGCCGACAGCCAGACTTTTCCTAC